TCTTTCTTTCTTTCTTTCTTTCTTTCTTTCTTTCTTTCTTTCTTTCCAGACCCTTGTTTTTCCTTCTCTTAATTTTCTATTGTTTCTTTTTGTGTTTTTATCTTAACATAAACTTTAATATAAGGACTTTTTAAAAATACAGAGATCAATTTATTCAACTTTCGAGAAAGAAAAGGTTCATTTGTATATCCCTGATAGTTAAAAAAGAGAGACCTGTAATAACATTTTATGACATGCAACAACTATTGCATGCTGTTGACTGCTATTTCCCTCTATCAAATGTCAGAACTGGCTCCAATGAACATGCAGCCATGGTCTACTCTAATCCCTGTTTTCATTGCTCAGTAACTCTCTCTTCTGAATTAACATATTCAGGGCATAATGTTAGACCCAAAGAACTAAGAGTGACACATGGAGTTACTTCTGATTAACTGCTTTATAGTTGCAGGATCCAATCTTGGTTGGTCAGTGGGACCAGAGGCTTTGGCTTCTCAGCTTTCAGGCTCATGCTGGAGCCCATCTTCATGCTGGAGCCCATTTTCTAGGCTCGTGCTAGAGCTAGAGAGAGGGGCTTCAACACAAGTCTGAAAGCTCAGAAGACAAAACCTTTGGTCCCAGTGACCCACCCAGATTGGATCCTGCAACATGATCCTGGGACATATATATTCACCTTCATTTGTGCTTTATAGTTGTTTGCTTACAGACAGAATCTTGCCAGACTAAAGCAATAAATCTACAATAACTATAGATATGCTCTGTGAATTGCTAGGGAGGGTCCAATCTTGCTCTCTTCCTGCCCACCAGTCATTCTAAACCAGAGGTCTCATTCTCGCGGCCCGCGGGCCAATTGCGGCCCGCAGTCCGATATCCTCTGGCCCCCAACCGTGATATGAAAGTATAATATTAATGCGTTCTCCATGCGTCGCTAGCTGGCTAAACACTTCTATGTGCGGCCCAGCCTCACCCAGACTCTGCCTCCAGTGGCCCCCAGGTAAATTGTGTTTGAGACCCCTGTTCTAAACTCTGTTGTCCCTTTGCTCTCTAGCCCCTCCCTCCTGTAACTCCAGGCGACCTTCTGTCACATATACTCACCCAAGAAGTCTGATATGTTACCGGAAAAAGTGTAGTTGACTATAGGAGATTTCTCTATTGCTTCCCATAGATTGGTAAGATTTCTGCCTATGGAGAAAAAAAAAAGTGTGGGGAGATGAAAATATCACCATTGCTTTTGGTTCAGTGACAACTATAGCTAGTGATCAGATCACTGCACTGAAGTTGCCTGTAACAGTAACCTGAGCATGACAAGGTTGAAAAACTTTGATTCCCCATAATCCAGAGCAAACAAAATATCCTTACCTTTGCAAAATTTAACACTGTATATCTATATCTACATTTATAATCTATATCTACTGTATATCTATGTTTATATCCAGATGGGGAATAGAGGATAGATGATAAATGATGTGCTGCTCTGTGGGCTCCAAGTGTGTCAGCAGAGGTAGGTCTTCAAGCATTTCAGAGAGACGAGGACAGTGGGGGCCTACCACAGGTGGGATTCAAAAAATGGTTTACTACCGGTTCTGTGGGCGTGGCTTGGTGAGCGTGGCAGGGAAAGGATACTGTAAAATCTCCAGTCAGAGGCGGTATTGGCCGGTTCTCCGAACTACTCAAAATGTCCGCTACCGGTTCTCCAGAGCTGGTCAGAACCTGCTGAATACCACCTCTGCTCAGGACAGGGGCATATGACAAAAGAAGGCTCTCTTCCTGGGCCCCACCAGTTGGAGTTCTTTCATTGATGGAATCCACAGCGTACCTTTCCACTCTGACTAGGTGGGACAGGCTGATGAAATGGGGCAGCCACAGCTCTGCAGGTCACCTGGCCCATGCCAGGTAGGGCTTTAAAGGTCATTGCCAATACCTTGAATAGAACCCGGAAGCAAACTGGCACCTAATGCAGCTTATGCAGCAGAGACAGAGGTGGTATTCAGCAGGTTCTGACCAGTTCTGGAGAACCGGTAGAGGAAATTTTGAGTAGTTCGGAGAACCGGCAAATACCACCTCAGACTGGCCCCGCCCCCATCTATTCTCTATCTTATGAGTCCCAGCTGATTGGCCAGGTCTTCTTTTGTTGCCCTGCACAGGAGAACGGAGCTGGAAAGCAGGTTAGTGGGGTGGAGAGGGAATGGGCATTTTGCAGGATCCTTCCCCTACCATGCCCCCCAAGCCACGCCCACAGAACCGGTAGTAAAAAAAATTGAATCCCACCACTGAGCAGAAGAGTTCCAGGTACCATCCTTGGAGCACCCAAGATAGTGCATGCAGCTGCATTCTGTATCCCCTGAAGCTTCCGGATATTTTTTAAAGGGAGTCCCTTTGCAATAGTCCAAATGGGAGGTGATATGTGGGTGAGTGATTGAGCAAACGGCCTCTCAATCCAGGAAGGGATGTAATTGATCCACAACACAAAGTGGAGCAAAATAAGCCTCTCCCCTCAAAAACTCATTTACCTTGAGCTAACAGAATAACAGAGTTGGAAGGAACATTGGAGGTCTTCTAGTCCAACCCCCTGCTTAGGCAGAAACTCTACACCACTTCAGGCAAATGGTTATCCAACATCTTCTTAAAAACTTCCAGTGTTGGAACATTCACAGCTTCTGGACGCAAGTTGTTCCACTGATTAATTGTTCTAACTGTCAGGAAATTTCTCCTTAGTTCTAAGTTGCTTCTCTCCTTGATTAGTTTCCACCCATTGCTTCTTGTCCTGCCTTCAGGTGCTTTGGAGAATAGCTTGACTCCCTCTTCTTTGTGGCAGCCCCTGAGATATTGGCACACTGCTATCATGTCACCCCTAGTCCTTCTTTCCATTAAGTAAGACATAACCAATTCCTGAGCTTAGGTAAAATGGTATAATCCATAACTGGGAGGCGGAAGAGAGGTAGATTGAGAAAGAAGAGACATACACACATATATGAGGTTGAACTCTAAACAGTACATTCCTGAACAAAGAAGAATCTCAGGTTTACCTATTCGTCCTGATATGACACAAATGTAGATGCAGTCTGTATCATTGCTCTGGCTCACTGAAAGAAGACAATTGTTTTGTTAACTTATTTAAGGTTCCTTAAACTGGAACTAAAATCCAAACAGAAGCTAATTTTCAATTCGCATAGGGAAGGAAATAGCAAAAACTAAAAAAACAAAAACAAACCCAAAACCCTTAACTCTCTAAGGTTCTAAAATCAAAATGCTGCTAACGCCAAGGGATAACAAAAAAACAAACAAATAATTATAATGTATACGGTGGCGCAGTGGTTAATTAGAGTGCAGTATTGCAGGCTACTTTTGCTGACTGTCGGCTGCCTGCAATTTGGCAGTTCGAATCTCACCAGGCTCAAGGTTGACTCAGCCTTCCGTCCTTCCGAGGTGGGTAAAATGACGACCCAGATTGTTGGAGGCCATAGGCTGACTCTGTAAACTGCTTAGAGAGGGCTGTATATAAGTCTAAGTGCTATTGCTATTGCTAAATGCAAAAGGAAATGATTTTGGGGAGGGTTAGGGTTTTTGCCTGAAATTTGGCCTGAAATTGCTTTTTTCAACTGGTTCTACAGTTAAAGGATTGAGCTATGGACTGGAAAGAATGCTGGCTTGATTCTATTGTGCAAAGCTATTCTCCATAAAATTCAAGGAGGCTTATGTTAAAATTACACCAATTAAAATATTATTAAAAATTGTACTAACATTGAAACCAAGAGAGCTAAGAGATGGATGGGATGGGATGAGGTCTTCTTACCCCACCAGCCTAATGTTCTTTCCTAAGTTACATTCCCTTCTTCCTCATTTTCTTCATCTAGTCATGTGGAATAAGGTTGATCAGCCAAAGAGACAGCAACAATTCTTACCTGACACAATGGAAGTCGACTTGAAAATCTCAGTAAGATAACTAGTGGAGTTTCCCACAATGTCCACCAGCAACGCTGTAAAATCTAGGGAAGTAAAGAGAAGCATTTTGACATTCCAAAGTTGTTCTTTCTTCTTATGGAAGACAATATCTGTAGCTCGGGGTTGAACTGTGGAATCATTGAGGATCTCTGAACTTGGATGTTTGCTTGCAGACATTTCATTACCCAACTAGGTAATATCATTAGTGCTGATGTTGTCACCAAGTTAGGTAATGAGACATCTGCAGACAAACAGCAAAGCTCAGAGACCACCAAGAATTCCACTGTTTTCTTTCTACTTTTGAAGCAGAGAAAGCGTGGATTCAAAAACCTAAGAGATAAGTTGCAATAAACAAGTTTGCATAAAACCTGTGGACTAAGCCTGCTGCTTTCACCTTGGAAAATAGACTGTTGTGGGATCACTGAACACAAAGGTTAGTTCACATGGTTCAGATCCTTCTATTTATTTTCAAGACTGCTTAAACATATAGTATTCAGGGTCGTCTTAACAGCATTATGGGCCCTGGGCAAAGCAGTGTACTGGGGCCCCTATGACAACTACTCACAGGAATAAAAATGTAAATGGTCAATAAAATTAAACATATATTTGCATGTTAGTATTGATTTTAAAAATGCAGTAAAATGTAATAAATGTTGCTGTATTTATATGATACAAGGTGCATTGAAGGGTGAACATACACAGATTAGTATGAGGCCCCTATGCTCGTGGGACCCATGGGTAAAAGCCCATCAGGCCCATGCATTAAGACAGCCCTGGTGATATTCCTTTGCTGGAAGTAAATCCCAGCTGTACCGTAATTTTTCTCTTTGTAATTTCTTTGATAGGAGGCTATGAACCGAATCTCCTAAACCCAGGTTAGGACAACCCTGACATAAGATCTTCACATCAATTGTTGCTTAAAGTTTTTTTTTCTCTTCACAAAGGATCATTTGAAAATTTATTTTATATGGAGAAGATATGGTGAGGTGGTATTCAGCAGGTTCTGACCAGTTCGGGAGAACCAGCAGCAGAAATTTGGAATAGTTCGGAGAACTGGCGAATACCAGCTCTGACTGGCCCTGCCCCCATCTATTCTCTGCCTCCCGAGTCCTAGATAATCGGCTGGGTCTCCTTTGGTTGCCCTGCACAGGAGAACAGAGCTGGAAAGCAGGTTAGTGGGGTGGGGAGGGAATGGGGATTTTGCATTAACCTTCCCCCAGGAGTGGGGTGGGAATGGAGTTGTTGTTTTTTAAACAAACTTTATTGATTATAAAACTAAAATATCAAACAAACACATACACAACACACAGAAGAAGAAGAAAAAAACAACTAGGAAAAAAAGAAAATGATTAAAAACTAACAATTCTACTATCAACAGTCTATGGTTCCTTGTTTGTTATCAATATTGGTGATATATTTACAAATACATCTTATTGCAAATATATAATTACTGGGAATGGAGATTTTGCAGTATCCTTCCCCTGCCATACCCACCAAGCCATGCCCACAGAACTGGTAGTAAAAAATTTTGAATCTCACCATTGGTGAGGGTGATTGTGGAGTGACTTCAGTTAATCAAATACTAATAAACTTAATTGTCATATCAATAGAAATCTGTTCTGTTCTTAACAAGAAAAAAATGCTAACATCTACTGAAGGTATAAGACAAAAGAAACAATTAGGAAGACTGTTCTTCCTTTTTTTAACTTTTTCACCTCTTTCACCATCAATATATTGTCTGTATGAAACTAAAGACTGAAAAAATTACATCTCTTTTGAACTTCTTCCATTCCATAACTTGCCTGTTAAGTCGTTAGTCCTGTTGTTTAAGCAATAGCAGTGTCGTGTGGAGAACTTGGTAGGGTCTATGTTCCTTAAGCTGGATACTGCAAAGAATGAAATATTATGAAACATAAAATCTTATCCACCAAAAGAATAAGAGTTTGGTCTAGTGGTTAAGGCGCTGGATTAGAAACTAGGATACTGTGAGTTCTAGTCCTACCTTAGGCATAAAAGCCAGTTGGGAAACTTTGGGCCAATCACCAGGTGATGGTGAGTTCTAGTCCCACCTTAGGCATGAAAGCCAGCTGAGTTTGGGCCAATCCAACTCACTTCACAGTATTGTTGTCATAGGGAAAATTGGAGGAGGAAGGAGTTTTACTATAGATATTTTAGCACTTTGAATTACTTATAAAAATAATAAAGCAGGATATAAACAAATGAACAAAAACTCTATTAGGTCCCAACTATCATTAACTTACTGTTGTACAGGACAATGGAAACCTTGTGGAAGGCATACGAACTATAAGATACAATACTCAGCAAAGAGAAGAATTCTTTAGTTCCTGTGGAAATACAATTTACAAACAATCATCCTACTCATAATTAAAAGAGCCTCAAGGAAACTAATTTTCTATCCCTCTTATGTATAGCTGCTAAATTTCCTCGTGAATACTTTGGCACCACGGGAATCCATAGCACATTTCACCCCCTGAGATTCTTATTAAAATTTATTCTTTGCAATCCCTGGTGAGTGGAGAAGAAAGACGCTGGCGTGTCAGCAACTCAGCAAGAGGTGAAGAATTGGCAGGTAAGACTCAGAGCTGGGTAGATCTGGGGGAATCTGGGAGTACAAAGATGCTTGCGAATAAATATTTATGGGGCTTGCAGGTGGAGCAATTGCACTCTTTTTAGATACTTTCATGTTTCTGGTGATGCCGTCAGATTTCTGACTTTGAAACATCAAGACATAATAGAGCTATTTCACATTCATTTGGGGGTTGCTCCACATTATATAGAAGCTGTGGGTGTGCAGCTGTTAGAATGCAGTATTTCAGGCTCACTTTGCCCACTGATAGGAGTTTGATCCTGACCAGTGTTCTGACTCAGCCTTCGCAAGTAGTGAAAAGATGTTTACTCTCAAGTAAGGCAACCCCTTTTTATAACAGGGCAGTAACAGTCTTTTATTCACAAGGATAAACCAAAATCAAATGTAATTTGTCCCAACAAACCTGGGTTTAGCCAAGGAAACTGAACTGCTTGCTGTACACTAGAAAACAAATGGTTGTCTGTGACAACTGGCCACTCCCAAACCCTTCATATTTCTTTTCCTGCCAGGGAGGGTGTCATGCCCCTGTCTGAGTCTGATTCCAAGGGGGAGGGTGAGCAGGATGGGGAGTGGGAGTGTGGCTCCGTTGGCTGTGGAAGAAACTGGGGAAGGGCAAAGTCCGGCTGGGCAGAGCAGGGAAGTGGTAGACCAAGGCAGAGGGAATTCAGAGGAAGACTCAGGGCCACCCGCTCTTCATCCTAGGGCACGCAGGGAGGAACAGAGAAGGGAGCAACGTGAGTTGCATGGCTTACGAGGGAGGAAAGGGCCCTGATTCCCCTCATTAGCTGCAGCTGGGAACACGGTGTTTAAAAAGGGAAGTTGAGCACAGCAAAGTTGTTGGAAGCAAATCGTAAGTTATCTGTTATTGTTGAGGCTTATCTGAGTTCCTGCCATCTTCCCTGCCCTGTCAAGTTAATTGCTGCAGCATGGTTTGTGTGGATTTTTATTTACAGTTTGTATGTACTTTATTTTCGGACTGAATTTCCTTCACTTAAAGACTGTTCTGTTTTTTCTCCAGCTGAAGGTAACCTGGACATTTGGGGCAAAGTTGGTGGTATTAAAGAAACTCTTTTTACTTATTTGACTGTATTGCCTTTGTGCAACACCACGGGTCATCACAGAGGGGCTGGCTATCGTCTGCATCTGCTTCTCCCTGAGAGCTGGCTTATTGCTTTCCTTTGCTCTCCTCTCCTTTCCTCTCTGCGCATATACACATCTGGGATGGGCCCCATCTGTTCCTCCCCTTCACTCAGCTCAGACCCTGAAGAAAGCTGCCCCTCTCCAACTGGGGGAGGATGGAAAGCCCCATCTCTGTCTCTTTCTCTGATGCTGTTTCCTTATCAGAGCCTTCCAAAGGCTCCAAAGCTGGCCTGGGGTTCTTTCTCAACACCCTCCTCACCAGATTCTGCAACCAACGGTACACAACAACCAGCCCAAGTTTAACTCAGCCTTCCATCCAGGGGTGGGCTGATGGGGGTTCGCAGGGGTTCGGGAGAGCCCCTAGCTAAGATTCCGTGCATATCGGAGAACCCCCAAATCCCATTCCTGGCTGGCCCTGCCCACCCCACCCTACCACACCCAGGAGTCCCCACGCAGCCCGTTTCAGATGCAGGTAAGTGCAGGGCATGTGCAGAGTCTCGGGGAGGGTGAAAAACAGGCCTCCTGGAACTTCAGGAAGGCTGGAAATGGGCCTATTTCTGGCTTCCGGAGAGGCCATTTTCTCCCTCCTACACTCCCTTCCCGGTGGTGCAGGAGGCTGACTAGGCCATGCCCACCATGGCCACACGCACCCAGCAACCAGGCAGAGAACCCTTTGCTAAAATTTTTGAAGCACCCCCCTGCTTCCATCCTTCCAAGGATGGCTAAATGAGGACCCAGATTGTTGGGGGCAATATGCTGACTCTGTAAACTACTTAGAGAGGGCTGTAAAGCATTATGAAGTGGTTTATAAGTCTAACAGCTATTGCTATATTTTCTTGATAAGGACAAAAGCTTAGAGCAGGGTTTGGGGCCAGTTGGCTTCCCTTCAAATGCATTTCTCTTTTCCTATTTCTTTGTCTGCTGGTGGAATGTGATTCACCAAAGAGACAACAAAGTCATCACGAGAAACTACCTCTGAGAGCGGTGTTTAGCATGCCGTTCACCATCCCTGTCAGGTTCATCGCTGCCAAATCAACCAATTTTGCAGGGAGCTCTGAAAAAGAAATGTACAAATAGTCCTTGATTTGCAAACATTCATTTAGTGTCCGTTCCAAGTTACAACGGCATTGAAACCAGTGACTTATGACCATTTATCACACGACCATGGCAGCATTCCCCAGGGTCATGTGATCAAATTCAGACACTCAGCAACCCATTCATATTGATGACCTTTGCAGTGTCCCAAGGTCACGAGATCCCCTTTTGTGACCTTCTAACAAGCAAAGTCAATGGGGAAGCCAGATTTACTTAACGACCATATTACCAATTCAGCCATGCTAGCGATTCATTTAACAACGGTGGCAAGAAAAGTAAAATTTTACAGGCCAAAACTCACTTAAACAACTGTCTTCTCAACAACAAAAATGTTGGGCTCCTCAAGGTGATCAAAAAAATAATGGAATGTGCAGAGATGAGTAGATTGACATTGACAATTAGAGAGCAAGAAGAAAAAGAATATTATAAAATATGGCATTTATTTTATCAATGGTTAGATAGGAAAATAGGGAAATGAAATATATTACAATATAAATACAATATAATAAATATAATACAGTGATAATGATATGTTATAATTGACTATAATGGAAAGAATTATAATATGAATTAGAACTTGTAAAAAATGAGATTTGCTCAAAAAGGATAATGTGAATTTGTAATTAAAGTCTAATGATGATGTAATAATAATATAACATGACATGGAAAGCTGATTAATACAATATGAATTTTAATTTTAATTTAAGAGGGAAAGACTATTGATATTGTGCACAGGAAATATGTACCAACCGACACACTGTACAACTGAAAGAAGGTTTTATTTGTTGTTTTGTGTTTTTGTTTGTTTGTGTTTGTTGTTAAAAATAAAAATATATATATAATTTAAAAAAAAATGGGCTCCTTTGTGATCACAAGTCAAGGACAATCTTTACACAATGCTGACTTTCAGTCTTAAACACACAATTTATAATATCACCTCCTAAATTGTACCCATGTCCCACCATGCACTGGGCCTATATCCCATCATGCACTGTTCCTGGATGGGAGAAGGGCAAGGAAAAAGACCTCCTTATCAGATTCCTACCTCACTGAACTACACCCCAGAGGCATCATGAATTGAGGGGTTTTGTCAAAAAAATGGCCAGAATTCTCAGTTTCGATTTAAAGTCTCAGCTCAACCAGGCCACCCAAACATAGGATGAATATGGACAGTTGCTGTTTTGGGTTGAGCTCCTGATGAGCACGGGGGAAAAAAAATTCCAGGTGCTTCAGTGAGAGATGGGAAATGTCCTGGTTACTAATACATTTCTGTTGGAAGCACCTACCAAGGCACTTCTGGGTTGAAAGCAGAGGTGGTATTCAGCAGGTCCTGACCAGTTCTAGAGAACCAGTAGCAGAAATTTTGAGTAGTTCAGAGAACCGGCAAATACCACCTTTAACTCGCCCTGCCTCCCCCATCTATTCTCTGTTTCACAAGTCCCAGCTAATTGGCTGGGTCTTCTTTTGTTGCCCTGCACAGGAGAACGGAGCTGGAAAGCAGGTTAGTGGGGTGGGGAGGGATTTTGCAGTAACCTTCCCCCAGGAATGGGGTGAGAATGGAGTTTTTGCAGTATGCCTGCCACGCCCACCAAGCCATGGCCACAGGTAGTAAAAAAATTCGAATCCCACCACTGGTTGAAAGAATTACCCAATAACATCAGCATTGCCCAGAGGACGTCCAAGGGGCTCCTTTCACGTCCCTGTTATTTTCCCACTGAAAAAAAGTAGTACTTATTTATCTACTTGCACTTGCTTGCTTTCAAACTGCTAGGTGGGCAAGAGCTGGGACAAATTGATGAGAGTTTGTTCCGTCATGCAGTTCACTCACCGGTTTTGAACTGCTGAGCTATTGACCTCTCAATGGTCTTTTGTCTCAGCGTCCTAACCACACGAGACACCACGGCCCCATATGTGCTAGCTAAAACCCTGGAGACCTGCTAGGACTGTCTCTTGGCAATATTCGGCTATAGGCAGCAATCACTGCATGGTCACTTTTGGACCATTTGGGGCATGCATGCAATGTCAGAATCCACATAGAAAAGAGTTTGCACTATGGCCTTCCTTCTTTCTCCTTTTCTTAACAGAATAACAGAGTTGGAAGGGACCTTTGAGGTCTTCTAGTCTAGTCCAACTCCCTGCTCAGGCAGGAAACCCTATACCATTTCAGACAAAGGAACTCTCTTCTTCTTCTTCTTCTTCTTCTTCTTCTTCTTCTTCTTCTTCTTCTTCTTCTTCTTCTTCTTCTTCTTCTTCTTCTTCCTCTTCCTCTTCCTCTTCCTCTTCCTCTTCCTCTTCCTCTTCCTCTTCCCCTCCTCCTTCTGATCCTCCTCCTCCTCCTCTTCTCCTCCTCCTTCTCCTTCTTCTTCTCATCCTTCTTTCTTCTTTCTTCTTTTTTTTCTTCTTTCTTGTGTTTCTCGTTCTAGCGACATCACCATCTCTCATGATGAGTATCTCCAGGAAAGGTAGCGTGTTGCTGTTTTCTTCTTCCCTTGTAAATTTTATACCTTTGGACTCTGGAGATGTTGTTGATGGTTTTGTTCGTGTCCTCTAGTTGGTTCTTTTTTAATTACGACAAAGGTGTCATTTTACATAATGGATCTTCTCTTATCATATGTCTCCCTGTCCATCTGTCTTGTCTGTTTATTTTTATCTACCTAGTTTGTATACACAAACATACACATACAAACAAATACAAAAGTGCCTAGCTATCAAGTTATTACATACAAAAGTGGCATATGTTTGCATGAATGCTCATGTAGAAGAGCAGAATCAAATGAGACCATTAAAGTAGGTCAGCAAAGGAAAAGTTTATAAATCTGGCTGCATATTTCTTACTGGCTACTTAATCTTACAGTATGTAACTCATAATCAGTTTGGTAGAATAAATTTGATTTCTGCTGGTGGGAAACTCACCCCAATCCCTAAATTGCCTTGAATTTACTACCAGACAAGAATTAAAGAGAGCGATAAGCAGCTGTAGAAAAATATTACAGTCTACTTGCAATGTCAAAGAGAATCTTAATTTTCTTACAATGCCATTGTTGATTACTGTCTAATTCTGCCACCGTTGCAACAATTCTGCCATTTCTAATTCAGAACACATTTGCAGAAAGACAGGGAGGAAATGAGCTATTCAACAAGAATTTACCTGCAGTTGCCATTACAACAACTTGCTCTTCTTTCTTATTTTCTCTCTTTGTGCTTGCAGCTGCAAAAAAAATAATAATATCAATTTCAAAAATAGACTCCTGAGAAAATGTGTCCTTTATGTACCTCTCTATTGAAAAAATAATAATGTAATATATAAAATATTTTGTTTGAAAACAGTAGCTTATTAGATGCAGAAACTAAATTATGGCATTAATAGTACAATTTTCTGGGGTGGAAATGAACACTACACTACAGGTAAATTAAAGATTCAGCAACCACATATGTCCAATGTTCAAAATTAATTAATATTAATCTTGGTTAGTATTCTCCCCCCACCCCCCAATGTAGCATGTTAGTTTAGCCCAACCTTTTTGGCTACTTTATTATTCAATATTTTGTGAAGCAAGGGATTGCAGCAGTGGTGGAATTCAAAAAAAATTACTACCAGTTCTGTGGGCGTAGGTTGGTGGGCGTGGTATGGCTTGGTGGGCATGGTGTGGCTTGGTGGGCGTGGCAGGGGAAGGATACTATAAAATCTCCATTCCCACCCCACTCCTGGGGGAAGGTTACTGCAAAATCCCATTCCCTCCCCACCCCACTAACCTGCTTTCCAGCTCCTTTCTCCTGTGCAGGGCAACAAAAGAAGACCCAGCCAATCAGCTGGGACCTGGGAGGCAGAGAATAGATGGGGGCGAGGCCACTCAGAGGTGGGATTTGCCGGTTCTCCAAACTACTCAAAATTTCTGCTACCGGTTCTCCAGAACTGGTCAGAACTGGCTGAATATCACCTCTGGATTACAGGGTCATTAAAAGAAAAAAAAATGGTGTGATCCCACAACATAACTCTATTGTGAAAACACAGCTATAGCTTGTTACTTACCCAAGTTAGATACAAAGCAGTATAAAAAGATGATGGATAAATTCACACCACCACGTAGGGAAAACCATGGCATTTTGGAATCTGCTTTTCTGAGAAATTATCTGGAGAAAGAGAAGAGAGACAAAAAGAAACTCAGAGAATCTGACAGAAATGGCTTAAATGGCTGTTGTTTTATTATTCCGTTAACAAAAAATACCACTGCAATGAAAAGAGACACTACTACTTATTTTTTTAAAAAAAAAAATCTAAAAAAATTAAGATGTCTAGCCAGAAACCCCCAACAAGCAATTCTGGTTTACAATAATGTTAGGAACACTGAAAAGCTTTTACTGACCACAGATGTCTTAAAGTCAAAATTCACTTGAATAAATTACAGTTCTTCAGTTTTGGTGTAACATGTCTAGATGCTGAGAGAGGAGACCTGAAG